ATTCTGGTGCTCGTTGAATGCGCTCTTGGTTGCCGTCACCCGTGCCGTGGATTCACTGCTCCACACCTTTTCGGCGCCCTTTATATAATGAACTGCATGCAACTTTCATTCGAAGTATTTCCAGCCCAATAATGACGAGACCCGACTCACTCGGCTTTTCTGCGCGTCGGACTTTGTCTCCGATGTGCGCTCCCCGACCATGATGTCTTTGATAATAGCGGATCCGACTCGCAACCTCACTCCCGTTCCGTTGTCTATTATTATCGGTATCCGCCATTCTGAAGATTCATTGTTGTGAGGTGGTAGGTATGAGTTAACGGACGACAGAAACCAAAAATGCAGAGGTACTCGTTGAATTAAGTAGATGGAAGACTTACCGCCACTCAAATCGAGACGTACGTCGAGTCGGGATGAAAAAATTGGAGTACCAGAAGGTTATTGCGGAGGCAGTCTATGGTGGTTTGTGACAAGCTATGGTCTTGATTCGGTTCGCGCAGTGACTATCATGACCGCCCGCACAGCAGACGCGACTCAGTATGCCTCGGAACTCGTATAAAATGACTGCTCCACCCTCGGTTACTCTTCGTGGCTCCCGATACACGCTACAAGACTAAAATTGCTATTACAACAAGACGTCTCAACAGCCCGTCTGACCCTCCAACTTTACGTGTCGACAGAGCGTCCCGTTGCGATATGCAAAAATCTCATCCTAGAGATTTTGTCATTAAAAGATATTCCCGGTCAGTGGTCCGCGGGGCGGGGGTTGTTTTATCTTCTATCAGTCTTGAAGTCGTTTCGACACGAACTAGTTTGTAAAATTCAACCACCTTCCTTTTCGAGACAATCGGTTTAACTACTTTACACAGTTGTTTCGCGAGTTCGGATGACTACACGGTCACAAATCGTGCGGCCGAAATCTGCTCGCGGCCACGGTTGGAATGCATAAATCACGAAATAAAATTGTTACAGCACGAACAACAACTTCACAAATCCAGACTCGCTCCTTCGGCCGCAATCTCCGCCAGAAAGACCCTCGTATCGGCCATGATAATCAGTCTCTTTGCGCCGGCGAATATCATGTTCGATGAGCCAACGCCGAGGAAGATCTTGCCGAGAAGCGTGCCCTTCGGGTCGAACACCTATGTGCACCGAATTGTCTTCAGTGGTTCAATGCAGCGTCTTTCAAAAACGTACCTCGGTCCCATCGCCACACCCGACATACAAATTACCGTTGGTATCGAGCGCCAGACCGTCGGGAACACCTGCGTCAATGAAAGCAAACACACGGCGGTTGGCGAAGGCCTGGGTGTCGGGCAGTACGTCGAATGCATATCTGTTGTAAACGAATCAAGACACAACTACCGCTAGTTATTTCGTTCCACCCACATCGTCGCTGGCAGAGTGGGTTGGATACCACCGATGGCGCCTTGAGTCTCGCCCGAGTCCGCGCTGTAAATAAACGCGGATGAGCGCTCGAAACGGGTGCATGCGAAACGCAACCAACGCACATATAGGCCGTCTTGCCATCGAGCGAGAACGCGATTCCATTGCACTGCGAGAACCCGTCCGCGATGACGCGCACTTCGCCCGTGTCCGCGTCGAAGCGATAGACTTGATTCGGAAGCAACGGCGCGGGCCTCAGCCCGTTGAGGAACCCGTAGCTGATTCGCGCAGAGTTAGGTAGGAATCAAACTATCAAGGTAATATTAAAATCGGCATACGTGACGTCCGTGAAGAATATAGCGCGGCTCTGCGGATGCACTTTGGCGTCGTTGAGAGAGTTGAATTGGCGGCCATAGTAATTGTTGAGGATAACGGTGTCGTTGAACGGTGGTTTGGGGTTCACTCTGACTAGACTCGGAGGAAGGGGGCCGGATCCGGTAGTAACGAGCAGTAAGTCGCCACGGAACAGTGTTCCTCCATTATTTATCTGCACGTCGTCGCTGAGTGGGAGCTGCAAAAATGAGTGACGAAAGCGAGCAGTGTTATTTCACGCACGATAGTAAAGTTGATTAAACCTGTCGGGCTGGTTTTGAGATCATTCAAGTTTATGACGGATACCTGGTCGCTGTTCAACCTCAAGGTACCATTGAATAACTCGAAAATAATTACCGGACGCCCCTCGGTCCTCCCTCCACTAAAGAAAACCTCGTCCGTTTCCTCAACCCAAATCGGTCCATCATGCGCGAACGCGAACGTGTCGTTTTCCACGATGACGCGAATGGTGGGATTCGGGCCCAGAATCGCAGTGAACCTCTCATCGTACACCTGAAAATACGGAGGGGTCAGGTTCACGTTCGGTGTAGGCTCAAATTTCTGAGTTCCGTTGCGGAAAGGGCCGTGAGGGTCCAGAACCGCGAACGCTCTTTTGTCCTCTCGCTAAGACGAGATTAGAGCACTATTAGCATGGAGGAACGTCGCGCACAATGACAGGAGCTTGCCCAATGACCAACGCAACGTTGATTGCAAGCGAAATAAATGCCAAGGCCCTCATTCGGTCAGTAGCTGTAACGTCAAGTGCTCCTTCAAAGCTTTACAGGTATACGGAGCTGCCAATTGAGAAGACAGTCCCGTAGAGATATGCGAGGCGTCCGAGAGATGCTGGTTGTTTTTATAGAAGTCAGAAAGACTCCACGAAAATATTCATGCCTAGGGTGATGAAAATATCTGTCGGGCCAATTGAGGGGTGTATTTCTCATATACTATTCCCATGCATTTCACAGATGCCACAACCGTGTTGGCAGAAGTCCGCGGGCTCGGCCGACATCTAGTAGACAGTTGTCGTGGTCCAGGAATTGTGTAGGGCCTCGCGCGCAAGGACGTAGCAATTGCAAGTTTGCAACCCCAGGTCCGGTATTAAGCAACCTCCCTAAGAAGCTGGAGAATCGTGCAAGAACTGAGAAATCAAGCGCTTGGGTGCGTATGATATAACCAGACGTCTTGACGTGGAAATCGATTGTATCAAGGGATCCCGCGAAATAACCATGGATAAAGGCACCTACCAGACGTCTTGGATTGAAACATCATCGGCGATGGTTGAAAAGCGGAGCCGAGTGTGAGAACGGTGTGTTGCGCACAGCCACAATTTCTGTTCACCGTAGCGAAATCATGGCTTCATGGCTCAGCTGGAAGACCAGCAGATGTTTTCCAAGTCTTCCGCTACAAGTTCCCTCCCCCTCATCAGCTTCAAGCGCGCTTGCTCGCTCTTGATTGCCCAATCCAATCCAATTCAATCTCGAGTTCGCGTCTGCACGGCCTGGATGCTTAACACCCGCCTGGAGCCGCAGCGGCCCGAGAATCCCTACACCCCCACACTGCACATGTATGTATGTATTCAATCACTTACATTCCATTCAAAACCGTCCACGCACCGCGGTGCAACACATATGTGCGGCATGGGTCAGTGCCACTGCTGAGTGCTAGCGCTTACACACATATATATATATATGCCTCCTTCGTTGCCCGAACCCCAAACGGGCGCGGTGCCGCGCTCGGGGGTCTCTGAATTTGAATCCTCGGGCTACCCATCGGTGACTCGAATACTGGCAGGCACTGCGAATGCGCAATACACGTATACATTGACAACGTCTGCCCGCGCTCTTCCGTCTCTCGAGGTACTGCAGTTATTGCAAAGCTGACTCGCCAGTGTACAGATATGTTTTCTGTGATGCCACATTTTCAGTGAAAAAAAAAGTACATCTACGGCTTATAGTTCAGCTGGAAGCCCAGCAGACATGTTTCCTGGCTGCTCTTGCCTTCATATGTACCACTCAAGCGCCAAGAATGAATTTATGTAAACCGATATCATTGGAGTTGAACATGGGCGATCGTCGATCGTGACCGAATGGTAAAGTTCAACAAATTTAAACTCCCTGTCTCCGCACTCGAACTCAGCCGGGTCCTCCATACATCCGGGGGACCGTCCCGGTACATACGTAGATTCCTGTTGGCTTGACTTCAAGACTCAATTTGGCTTTCCGATTTTTGATCGGCGATCGGACGGCAGAATTCAATTCTCTCAGTTACTACTTCAACCACTCTCCCTCCATTCTTCCTGCCCCATTCAAGAGCACCCAATACAGCCATCACATACCCGGCCGGTGCGTACCCAGAATATTGCATCGCGGAAATGATTGATTTTTCAGGTTCAGTTCCTTTTTCGGTGTTATCGTCCCCCCTCACCCTCTTTCTAATGGCGTCTTAGCTCAGCTGGGAGAGCAGCAGACTGAAGCAATTAGAAACGTCATCTGTGGGCGACGAGATGTAGAGCGCGGTTGGCGATCGATCTGAGCAGGGAGGGTGCAGTGGCCTACGGCGTTCTCGGAAGGCGGGTCGGGCGGCAGGGGCGCGGCTTTCAAATTTGGATCCAAATTTTGGGTTGAAATTGAGCGGAGGGCGGCAAAAGATATTGGCGGGGACCGCAATCGAACGCGCGACAGTGCGGTGGGACGCGCACTAACCAGCTGCGCCATCCGATCGATGTAAGGACCGGGGGACAGGGGCGGGACATGGCAGGAGGAGAGGCTACACAGCCACTCCGCAAGCGAGGCCCATGTATGTTACGCACCCGAGTTCTAAGCTCGGCTGATGGTTCGTGCGGGGGGTTGAGCGTGGTGAGTACACAGGCGGAGAGGGCGCTGCATCCGAGTAGACGAACGCGGACATGTTTTGACGCGTCGCGGTGCGTCGTTCGATGAGACTGCGGGGGTTGAGCGTAGCGGGGCGGATGTGCGGAGAGAGGGCTGCGGGAGAGGACGTGGATGCCGAGACATCGTCGCAGATGGAGGTCAAAGAGAGGCTGAATCGCGACGGGGGTCGCCCGTGGCGCCCTGTGCTCGCGGTGTCGTGGTGCTGGTCGCCTGCGGCGCCCTCGCTGTTGTGCGTGCGAGTCGCCCGCGGCTCGCGACGGTGGTGGTCGCCTGCGGCGTCCTATGGGCGGGTGTGGGAAGCCGAAACTGGTCGCTACTGCAGTCGTGTGGATTTAGTGCCAGAACTTTCAAGGCGTTGTAGCTCAGTTGGGAGAGCAGCAGACTGAAGAGGCTGGTGAGAAGGCGGCTAGTCGCGGTAATATCTGAAGGTCCGGTGTTCAAGCCACCGCAATGCCATCCTTTTTTACTTTGTAACGCCATTTTTGTCTTTTTGCACCAGGCCTTTAGGGCAATGAGATATTTGAAGGGTTCTTGATTACTATATTACAGTGCTTGTTAGGCAAAGGATAAATAATTATATGTAATACACGGGAGGCGAGTGCAATACGATGTGCGTAGCGCAAGACACCGCGCATAAGCAACGACGCGGGGGCGTGAGCGGGCCGGGAGTGGGAGCGGGTACGCGTGAGGACGAGCGCTCCGTGCGCCGTCGCTAGTGTTCGAGGTGGTGCTCGTGCAAGACCCACCCGAGACGCCGTTCGCCGGGCCAGCCGGCTGAATACTGGACGTAAAAGTGAAAATCAGGGCTTGCAGAGGTAGCGCTGGAATATTGGACCATTCTTTGCAGGCTGAGTTGGGCTGGCACAGCTGTAGAATTTGACAAGAAAATCTGGCAGAATCTTGTCGTCGGAGAGGGCTGCTCGAGAACGGCGCCGGTGGGGGTGGCCCGGGATAGCAGCGCCAGTGTCGGGCAGCGCCGCGTCGAAGCATCGAGTTGCTGTGATTGCCATCGTGAGCGTTGAGCACGGCGGGAGCTCGTCTTTGTTGCACCTCGCCTATGGCTCGTGAAATGGGAGTGAGACCTGCAGGTTCCAGCAGTCGCATGCGGCCTCCCGGCGGCGTGGTCGTGGTTGTGGTGCTGGTCGCCTGTGGCGCCCGTGCGTGCTGCCTCACCTGGTTTGGTCGCCTGCGGCGCCCCCTGGGCGGGAGTCGTGATTCTGGTCGCCTGCGGCGCCCTCGCCGTTGTTGTGCCGCGCCTACGGCTCGGGAGGGAGGGTGGTGACAGGAGTCTTGTGTCGTAGTGTTGGTCGCCTGCGGCGCCCTCGCTGGTGTGTGTGTGCGCGTCGCCTACGGCTGGGAGGGGAGGTCGCGATGGTGGTCGCCTGCGGCGCCCCGTCCACGGGTGTCGTGGTAGGCGGGAGTCGTAATTCTGGTTGCCTGCAGCACCCTCGCCGTTGTTGCACCGCACCTACGGCTGGCGAAGGATGGTGGTGACGGTGGGAGTCGCCCGTGGCACCCTGTGCTCGCGGTGTCGCGGTCCTGGTCGCCTGCGACGTGGTCCTGGTCGCCTGCGACGCCCTCGCTGTTGTGCGCGTCGCCTACGGCTCGCGAGGGAAGGTGGTGATGGTGGGAGTCGCCTGTGGCGCCCTGTGCTCGCAGGGTTGTGGTCCTGGTCGCCTGCGGCGCCCTAGCTGTGCGTCTCGCCTACGGCTCGCGAGGGAAGGTGGCGATGGTCGCCTGCGGCGCCCTCACTGTTGTGTGCGTGCGCGTCGCCTACGGCTCGGGAGGGAAGGTCGCGATGGCGGTCGCCTGCGGCGCCCATGGACGGGTGTCGTGGTTCTGGTCGCCTGCGGCGTCCTATGGGCGGGTGTGGTCGCCTGTGGCGACCTGTGGTCGCGGCCTCGCCTACGGCTCGGCATGCCGGTCGCCTGCGGCTCCATCGGCACCGGGTTCTCTCCCCGGCGCAAGCGCCGTGGATCGAACCCCCACACGCGTCCAAGGTCCCGTGTTCAAGCCACGGAGATGCCATTCCTTTTGCACTTCGAAGTTATTTCTTTTCTTTCTTTTTTGGTTGTCCAGTCCCCAGCCCTTCCCCGGTCTTTTCAGCATTTGGCGCTTGGAGGTATCCCACAAGAAGTATTTGCTGAAAAGCACCAAGTCGAGATCAAATTTAGACTTAAAACTATTCCCCAAAATACAGTATCCTAGTCCTTCAGTCCAAAAGTCGGGCACATCCCGTGTCTGTGGACAAAGTAGTTGCACGGCCCGCACCGCTTTGCTGCCATCAAGAAACCTTCACTTCGAGCCGTCTTACACATCAAAATCGTCTCCTATCCAAGGTTGATGATCAACCCCATTACGCCGCATCGCCGCCAGCACTTGTCTCCGACCCGGATTCAAAGGAGGGATCTTCTTCGGAACCAAGAGAACTGGACTGTTCTCTGAAAGACCAGACGAGACGGGGGAGGTTTTTTCGAGCCCAGTTGTAAATGCCGGGGCAGACGTCTCGCACGTAAAGGGCGAAGTTAAAAAAGAACTCCCGCGCTGCGATTTCGGCGACGCGTTCGAGGTTCAATGATCCACAGGGCCGCACGAGGAAGAGATCGATTATGACGACTGTCCATGCACCCGGTGCGCCGGTGAGGATAAAGTTGGGAGCCCGGATGTCTCTGAGACTCCAACCACTGCGAGCAAAATCTCGGACGGCGTCGACACCGAGCGCGCACTTATTGAGCAGGGTCAGATCAAGGTAAAGACACCTCAAGTGAAGGCGCACAAAATCGTGGATGTCAGCTTCTGGCGTGGATTCATCGACGTCGTTCCCTGTGAGCCCCGGGATAAACTCCAGTATCAACACCCAAGCGAGCTCTCCGCACGGGGCGACTATCTGAGACCAGATGAAGGTCGGACTTGCTGCAAAGATTATATTGACTTACCTCGAAAACGCCAAAGAAATACGGGATCGAGAGACCCTGATGGCGCACAAGTTTTTGGTACGCCCAGGCTTCATTGTGTGCGACATCCCAGGGGTCGTAGTACTCATTCGCCCAGTCAGAGGGTAAACGGAGCAGAGAGGGCTGAATTATCTTCATTACGAGACACGTTTCAGTGCCGACGACGTTGGCCGTCCACACCTGCGAAAATGCGTTTATACCCGGCTGCAGAACTTCGTGCAACCGTAGCACGACACCGGTACCGGGATCGGTCCTAGGAATGAAGGGTAAAGGGCGTGATCCTGGATCTGGGTTGTGCGGTGGAACTTCCAAATCAAGCGTGAAACGGAGTCCGGTCTCCAACGGTTTCTTGAGGGCAATACGACGCGCCTCCATTGTCTCCTCGTAGACGATCTCGACATCGTCTTCGGAGCGTGGGTTGAAATCCAGTTCGCGGAATTGGTAACGCGCAACAGCCTCGTAAGACATTGTGGTCGTAGAAGATCGTTGTCACGCTGTCACATGCCACCTGGACGTCACAGTGAAATCCACTTTTCGGGAAATCCATCAATCCGTCCAGCAATACGATGCCCATAATACCTTCCAAAACTCCGGTGAAATGGCTGGACTACCTGGAAAGTGCCCTCCCAGAGTGTCCACGCGACCCGATCCCTGGTCCCATCAAGAAGAAAAAGAAGACAAAGTTGACTATAGGTCGTACCCATTCCCCCTCCTCGTCTTCGCTCGCGGCCTGCGGGGCCGCCACCACTCTGCGTCAGACGAACAACATCCTTCCTCGGTTTCTAGAGGGCGACATCCGCACGTTCTTTACAGAAAACGCACCATTGATTATCCCTGAGGATGACTACGTTCAACCTTTGCTCAACGAACAGGCCGTCGCGTATGTGCTACCCACCACTGTTCTCCACACTTTCCCCCTTACACATGCGTTCAGGGAGGTATATTTCAAGGCGGTCCTAGTCCCAGTAAAGGATGCATTGCAAACGCTCCTGGCGCCATTATTGAAGAGGGCAGATCTGGCAAAAGCCCGTTACTTCTTTAATATCCGCCCTCAGCAACCCTCCGCCACCGGTGGTAGGTCGGCACCTCACTGGATGTTCGAGATGAACTCACTTTAGACCCCGACAGATTTGACCAGATGCGACCATTTCTTGGTCTTGGAGCACATGGACGGCATCGACCCGGACGACAAGATTAAGGCGCCACCGACGGACGTCTTTTGGCAGAGCCCTGAGGAATTTACAGACATGCTTAAGGCCCGTCAGCAGTGGGAGCAATCGCACGCCGCCCAGGACCCCGTTCCTGAATACCCGAGGCTTGTTCTTGGTGTAATCGAGGAAAAAGTTTGTTCATTTCCGTAATCTGATTGTATCAATTTGTATGATAATCAAGATAATGATAGAAGCCAAATATCTTAGACATCACTGAATTCCAGTCCACCTACCACGCCAAAAAAACTACAGGTGCCAAAAATGTCGCCGATATTCTTCCGCCGGTAAAGAAGTGAGTTACAATCCTCCGCGATGAGAACAGTCGTAAATATGCGCCCCTAGGTACAGCGTGGACGCACAGTGCCCGCTCGTCATTCTCACAGACTATCACGTAACCTTGCTGCTTGAAGTAGAAGAGGCTGGAGCCCAATGGGACTGGTCCACGAAGAAAATCGAGTCGAAAATAGGTGTTGTGCCTGTGATTAAGGTTTGCGCCCTCGACAAACCGCCACGCATCACGTTGTTCTCGATGGCAGTCAGGCGGCTCGTAGACGCGAAAGTTCTCAAGTAAGTGGAATGTGCATGGATGCAGCGGCACGACAGTTCATATATGTCATAGAGTTTCCTCCTCTAAGATCGAATGGGATCCAAAGTGACACGATGGGTTCTGGGCATCCGACGGACCTCTGTATGATGTACGATAAGATTCACTTAGTCGAATAACATTGCACCTCTAGTCTCCGGTAGTCATGTATTCAGCTCGATGGTCTCACCGCCGTGTTCCCGAGACACTCGCACGCAGTAGAGCTGGTAAGTAGCGTTATTTTGTGCCTCTTTTAGTTATTCTGCGTTCAAAAGAAGGACTTTTGAAAGAGTGATAAGAAATTGGATCTGTGGAGGAATTGCAAAAAGAGGAAGGAAGAGAAAAAAAAAGGGGAGAAAAGAGAGGATATCTGGGACCTACAACAGCTATTTCCCAGTGAAATCCGAGTTTCTAGCCCAATTTTCCGCTTCGTGCGAGCTTGGATCCCCAGTCACCGGCCATCAGTAGGACTTTCTGCAGCTTATCGTCGTACTGCCTCAGCCACCTATCCCAGCAGTTCCCCGGTAACGTCTCCGTCCTCTCCCGCACGGTTTGTTTCATAATCGCCAGTGCCTTCTGCACCTGCTCCTCCGACGGAGGAGCGCCGCCATCGATGCCGTCGAGGACATCGAGCACCTCCGCAGACAACGCCTGGAATTCGTCGAGCCCGGCTCCGATCCCCCAGCGTGCATCTACTTCAGTGAACTG